AACACGGTGTCCTGCTCCGACAATGTCCGTTACATGACGGACGAAAGCTCAACAAGGATTCATCGTGGTCACAGTTCTGAATGGAGAGGATATATACGCAGAAATCTGCAATGACAGTTCGAAAACAATCACCATACAGTTAGAAGCAGGACCAACTTACGAGTCCCTTCCGCTCTCCTCTTCAAACTAAAGAAAAGGTATTCCAACACTAAATAAAGTTGTGTAAAACTCTAAGTTTCGCATACATGGAAACTTTATGGCTAAGCGAAAGATTAGGGTTAATAGAAACTAACCATACAAACAATATGTTAAATAGGAGGAACAAATTTGGGAAATTAAGCAGGAACCACCTCTCGTTATGAGGTAGAATTAGGTTAGTGTGTCATGAAATCGGAGGTAGCTGAACGTATGGTCAATATGAGCAACCAGATAGTGGCATAGAATCAAACTTGCATAAATAAAGTGCATATGCACCCATAAACTTAAAAATAGTCAACACTACAGGGTCGCGCGCTAAATCATCTATGTAAGCAAATGGGTGTGATTACATCCAATCTCTATGTTTCTGGGTCAGACGATGCTTGTCACATGACAGATGAAGAGTCAACATTAAATTATCGTGATCACAGGAACATGAGCAGATATCTTAGCACAATCCAATAGCTACAACTCCACAGAAATCCTTCGGTTTCCGATGGTTCCAGTTTATGAATCACTCTCACCACCCTTGTTAAGTGCCAATACCAAATTAAGTATTAATAGCCATTTCTAACAAGAAAGTCTTAGGATTCAAGATCAGATCAGGCATTAAAAGCTAAGCTACACTACAAAAATTTCCACGGCCGAGCAAAATTTATATTTTCAGAATACTATGTGAAAAATGTATTAATCTAAGAAGAGATATTCATCTTTATAAACATATAAAGATCATTATATCGTAAATGATGGGGCGTTGAAAAAGATGTCGCAACCTCATCTATTCATCCTATAAGCTTCGCCTAAATCCACCAGCAAAAATTATTTAAAGATTTTACTGGGAGATCGTAAATAGAATATACAAAAATCCTAATTAAAGCAATTTATAAAACACAAAAATGGATAAACAATGAGTGGAGTTAAAAACTATTAATATAAGGTACTGGAATCGCCTTAGTCGGCTTTAATTAATGAAATGTCTGATGTTTGAGCTTCCCATAATTAAATAAGTAAATGGCCCCGCAATGCCAACTAATCTCACTTAGCCTTGCTCCCAAGGGGAATTTCTCATCTAAGTTGAAGTGGAGTTTTAACCGCAACTTAGTCTCATCAGCACCCCCAGCGCGATTATAAGCCGTTCCATACACATGGTCTAGCAAAATTGCAACTCAGCAATATCCCCTGGAGTTGTTGGATCACAGAACAAAAGGGAATCGTCGGAGGGGCTAGTTAATTGCAGGCGAGGTAGAAACTGCAGTTCCTTCTGAATGATAAAATAATTTAGGAAAAAAAAAGCGAATTTCCACGGCATTATGAGGTCTTCTATTAATTGTATTGTGAGAATCTCAACTACCAAGCATTCAATCACCTAAAGTGATTCCAGTTCTTATACTAATGGATAGTGCCATAGGCACAAGCAGATATAGGTTCGGTGCATGGTGCCTAGATAGACAACCCCTTCTCTATGGGGCGATTATTTGTGTACCTGAACCTGCTTGTCTCGGTAAGCAAAGTAGTTGCTAGTCTCAAATGTCAGATCGTCAATAAAGGTGGTGTGAAGTTGAGGCTTGAGAATGGGGAGGACCGGACGTCTAAGTGGATTAGACAATAGTATTAATGTCTTCTCAAAAGCTCCAGGATGGGGTCGAAATTGATCATCACCGGAAGATGAAGTGGAACTCAAGCGTGAAGGAGCTAAGATATTTTTGCGCACTTGGCCAGGAGGTGGAGATGCCAACACAATTGGCACCATGCCATTTTGTGGGCTGAACTCAACAATATGGAGGCCGGAATCTTCTGCTAATTGTTGATAGCTTCGCTAAAGATGATTAAGAAAAAAGTGATGAGATAATTTGGAAGAATACAGATTGAAAAACTATATTTATTTCAATGATATCAACAATAAATCTTAACGTAAACAAGAAAATCAGATAAAGGTGTTATGTTAAAAATGGCCGAAAAGTTGTTAAGATAGCAGCAAAGTATTTGGTTTTAAGAGAAAGCAGCAAAAAATGTAGGTCAGTAATGGCCAAGTAATGAATAGCGAGGACAAATGCGATGAAAAAAGTGCCTAAGAGTATACAATGTGTGCAGTATGCTGTTAGGAATGAGTTTGGAGATATTTATCATAGCTCAAAATCCATTCATGACTTGTGAACCTGTAGCTGTTTGGCATTCTCACTTTTATCAAGAAACAAGTCGATTTAAGATCAAACTAGAGACACTAATGACATCTAGATAAGGCTAAAACTACATTTGATCCTAGACGAAGTAGGAACTTCGGATAAAATTCATTTGGGAAATTAGGCTCCTAAAATTCTGGGTACTTTGACAATCCGTATCTTTTAGTAAAGTGAAAGACGGTGCTTATCATAAAAAAATTATTCAAGTTCGATTGACAGAAATGTTAAAAGTCCGAATCATTTTGATCACCTGAGCATTGAGCATCTGAAGAAAGCCTCTGGCAAGCGCACGATAGTTCCGTGTGGCTCCCTCAACTTTTGCGTACATGTCATGGATGCCAACCAGTTGACAAATGGAGCGAAGAAGACGATGGCAAATGAGACCCCGGCCTATATCAATTGATGCGAAATACGATAGTATGGTATTTATATCAAGGACTGTTTCGAAAGATCTCGTAATGAGTTAATGACATCATATCTTGAATCTCATTTTAAAAGTTAGATGTAAGAGTTTTAAGAACCTGTCACCCAAAAAGCACAAGCTATGTTTATCAAATTTTACTAAGTGCTTTTCTAGTGCTGGTTTGACCTAGTTTTCGCAACTTGGTCAGAGCACAAGGGAGACCATGTGAACGTATCTAGTAATGCGTCCTACGACATATCTTTTGGTACATTCTCAAACTTTCGCCATTGTTAGCACCGAATTACAACTTATCAAAGTGAGAAGTGAAGGCAATTTCCTTGAACAATTGTATGTTCAACCATTGTGGCATCGACCCTCACCTATAGTCTTCATCCTAAATTCTGGGACAAAGTCTCTCTGATACTCTGAACAAGTTGGAAAAGGAGGTCAAACCAACACTACGAAAGGAAAGCAATGAAAACAGAGGAAAAGCTATGACTTGGCAGTTGTGGCCGATACTATGGAAATGGAACATTCGTACAATCCTGAAGGAAAGGACAACCCTCTTTACCAGCTTGCCAACATAACATGAAAAAGTAAACGAAATTGTGTGATCTGCAATGTATAGCATAAACGGCGAGGACTGTAGGCAAAAATACATCTGAGTGTGGGAAGGGCCATCAGAGAACACCAGCGACTATGCAGAAAGATGGATCAGGAGAGATCGGAAATAGCTGAACACATCGCCCTTACCGGACACACAAGCGTAAAGCTTGGCCTCACATGGGGAGAACACCAGAAAACGTAAGATCAGGAAGGCTGTAGACAGTCTGTTTCAAAGAAACTTGATGAACAGGAAAATGGAAAAGGGAAGAGTCAACGATAATTTCGCATACTGCCTGGAAAGATTTAGAGATTCAGCGAGAGCAAAAAGAAGACGCTTGACCAAGGACAACTAGTGAATAACAGGAAGAGATATCGCTAAAGAGATAATCATGTGACTGAAAAGGAAGTCAAGGAAAGGCGATCGCAGTGAGAGTCAAACCTAGAATCAGCCTGAAAATTTACCGGTGTATGTCCACGTGTGGAATGAGGAGTAGGAAATTAAAGACTAGAAACAGGCAGATTATGCTCTATTGGAAGTGCTAGTCTAAAAGTATAGGTGTGTCACAGAGAGGCCCCTAGTGTGAGTGAGCATTTTTCGAGTGTGCGCCTCAATGAGAGATAAGCTGTAGATTTTCCCACCGGCAGTTCAGAATTAAGTCAGATACAGGTTCCCAAAGAATAAGACGCAATGTGGATGGGGATGAAAAAGAGGATAACTGAGTGATGAGTCTGAAGCTTAGAGGAAGATGTCTAGGCAAGGACATCACCGGCTTAAGATCCTCAAATACGAGGTCAGCTGGGATAGGAAGTGAAGGGTCATAGGAAACCAAATTTCACATAACCAGGCAGTAATTAAACGTGGAGCAGCGAAAATTAACAAGCGGGGTGGAAAGGGGGCCGAATGAAAGTCAGAAGCCCTACAAACGGTATATAGAACAAGTAGTGAGGATGATTAAGCCTCACTTAATCCGTTTGTAGTGACATACTCGTAGACGAAATTAGAGGAAAGAAAATCACAGAATTATGTGAATAGCTAAATGGGCCATATGAAGAGAAAGAGATGCAACAATAGAAGATGGAAGGAAAAATGGGAGCGAAGAGTGATGCCACAACGGTTGAGCATA